GTTTCTTGTCCAGATATAATCTGGTAATCGCAGTACAGCTCTGTCAACCCCCCCCCCCTTACAAAACATGCACAAACTGTCAGATAGTTTGCCCAGAGGTGTTTTTAATTCAAAAACTGCAAGTATAGGTAAACTATTTCCAAACGATCCTACCTATTAGGCCTTCTCTGGCGGTTCTGCGTGTAGCAAAGTTGTCAGCGGACCTGGATCTGGAACATTCTCCCAAACGGATGACGCGGCGTTGCCTCACACAGAAGCAAATGCCACAAGCTTTTCTGTAAATCGTCTGGCGAAAAGCCCGTGATTGTTGTTCACGATGAGTAAATATTTGCGGAACACAAAAACAAGCCGTGTGGGTCTTGCGTGGCGCTGTGGTTACTTCCTGGTCCTAGCTGGGCACAGCAGACGCTCTGATACACCCAATACATAGCACCACATGTTTGCTGCTGATACCCCCCTCGGGCAGTATCCACCCAGCAGGGGGGAACATATACCACGCTGCTTACTAATTATGGCTGTGGGAGTCAACATGCGATGATAAAGCTTTAAAAACATATAATAAAATTAATTACCTTTCAGAAGGCGGCATATGAGAGTTCGGCGCTCATTTAAAAATATGAGAATGCTGTTTTTCCAGCTAAATATGCTTTTGTGATGTAGATGTAACTTCAATTTTAAAGGGGCCACTAAGGGCTTGGATGACGTCCTCCATCTTGATTACTGCACTGTCCAGTAATAGAGTCAGTGATGTATCACTTCAGGACAGACATACTTTTCTATTATTTTGATACTTCTTATTTTAATTATTAGATTAAGGAGGCTGAGAATGCCGCCCACAAGCTCGGGAGGGGGGGGGGCGATACTGCACGGGTTGGGGCCCAGGAGAAAAGCGTCACCGGGTGACAGACCACATGGCGGACGCCGGAGGCGAGGCAGCATGCTGATTGGGCGACATGTGGGCCATACATTGTGGGTGTAACTGAGACCTATGGTGGGCTGACAGCCACATGGGTGACCTATATCAGGTGACACCAGGGAATTAAACCCCGCCCCCTGTGTAGACTTCCAAGGGCTCATTGAGATGCGGAATGCAGATGACAGGAAAGCAGGGGCGATTCTAGACATTTTTAAGGTGGGGAGAAAAAGAGGGGGCCATAACTTAGAGAGGCTAATCTCATCATTGACCAATGATATGTTTCGAATCAGTTAGTGACAGTGGAGTGGGCCAATCAGCTTTCAGTCTCTGCGGCCTCCACCCCCTGTATAATAATAACCTTCTCCATCTGTCCACAAGCCACCATGCTACATAGATCGGGACCACGAGTGAGGAGAGGGGTCCAGCTTCTGTACGATTCGGCATGGCTGGCTGCCACGATTGTCGGAAGTGAGCGGAGCGTTTGCTGCAGCATGAGTGACGTGTGTTTTACCGCAGAATGAGAAGGTCCGGGACACCACCCACCACCCACACCCTGTTCCTGGATACTCTAAGGACATCGTCTGTCGAGTTTGCCCCCTCCCCCGTTAGGAAAGGCAGTCCGTTTTTCCGCTATGCCATCTTTCCATATCTGTTTATTCCATGGTGGTCACCTAGCGGAACAAACTTGGCAGCTTTTGTCAGGGTTATTTCCAGAAAGGCTAAATCTCCCTCCTATTATTTTGCGATCACCCCCCTCCCCACCACACCCTGCACCCGACGAGAGCATGACAGCACATTCACCTACCAGCTCCACCTTATCTCTCCCTCGCCAGCTCTGCTGCACCACATCCCTAGTAACAACAACTCCCCCCCCCCACCACCACCACCACCCCACCCCACTGATTCTCCACCCCACCCACTCCACGGGCGGACGGCCGAATTCGCATGACCAGCGCAAAGAGAGAGAAGGGGGAGAGAGACGGACCCTGAAAGAGACGTGAGGCGACCAGGGGAGCTGATTCGCCCGCAGCCATGTGAATTTTTGAAAGCATAGCCAGAAGGAAAATAACGGAGCCAGGGCCTCTTAAAGGGGCAGCGTACCAGCCAGTGGCTAGAAGCAGAGCAGATGAGGTCCCTCTCCCAGGCCCGGCTGAGCAGATACCTGCTGAAGTGTTTAAAACTTTAGAGCTGGATTCACAGGCAGCTCACGACGCGGCGATGCGATGCACGGCTCGGGAGAATGGAAGCGGGGGGGGGGCAGACAGACAGCCGCCGTCAGACAGCCAGGACAGGAAGACATCAAAGGCTTCACATTATTACATTTTTATTTGCTTTCCAGATACTCCCAGCTGTGAGCGACTTCCATCTCTCAATTTTGCACTTACATCTCAGGGGTCTAACAGCTACGTCCCCACGGGGAATAGTTACCTTTAGTAACAAGCTCCTAACGTCCCGTGTATGATTCAACTGGCCATAGAGACTCATCGAGACAGGCATCGGAGCTAAAACTTGGAGCAAAGGGCTTCGCCTTCAAAGCTGAGGTTTAAGAGAGCTGTAATGAAGCTGTGTCTTCCCTCCATTGAGATACAGCCCTATTTGATGGAACACCAGTATCTGTTCATTACATGAGGAGGTGATGGTCATTTAGGGACGAATCACACACAGTGCAAGGAGACCAGAGAGAACAGCGCTCAGGTATTCAAAGGACGAGCGCTGAATTAAATCCGGCGTCACTCTAGCCAAATTCACTGATTGTGAAACATCACGACAATGGAGACAAGACCTGCTTGTCCAGAAACATATAACATACCGGAAGCTGACAGAGATTAATAAACATCGGAAGGAGTCTATGGGTTGCCACGCAAAATCTGGGACAGAAGTGGGTACCGTGCAGATGAGGAGGTGATGTAGAACCTGGTACAGATGAGGGGGTGATGTAGAACCTGGTACAGATGAGGAGGTGATGTAGAACCTGGGCCCACAAGGAGACACTCGTTCGCTGTGAAGATGTCACTCCACTGTCATTTTTTGCCTGGTTTGAACCCATGTGTCTTTCCCTCCTTGTTCTCTAGCTGCATCTGCAAATATGTCATCTGGGAGCAAAGTCAGAAACCTGCTCTAAACTAAGAACAAAGAAAGAAAAAGAGTAATAAAAACCATCCATTGATTTTCCATCCCCACTTGTGCAGTGGAGGAGCTTGGAGCACAGGGCAGTAGGCAGGGCAGTAGGCAGAGCAGTAAGCAGGGCAGTAGGCAGGGCAGTAGGCAGTAGGCAGGGCAGTAGGCAGTAGGCAGGGCAGTAGGCAGAGCAGTAGGCAGGGCAGTAGGCAGTAGGCAGGGCTACCCCCTGTGGATGGGATGCCAGTCAGCCTCAGGGCACATGCTCCCGGTCACACACCCTGAGCAATTTGCAGACGGCGGTTGACCAAACCACATGCTCAATTTCCAACGATGAAGATTCTGGTTTAAAAGAGGCAGAGGGACATGAACAGCCCTGATGGGTCAATAGGCACGCTGGAGATGGCAGAGTCGCTCTCCTGCCCCCGGAGAAAGTGTCACCGCAGAGTCTAGCGTGGCGCTAACAGGCGTACGCATCACGGAGAACCCATACCTCGGACTCCGGAGCCAACTTATCGCGGCCATTAAAAACACCACGACAGGCACGGCAAAGAAGGGGCGCCATCAGACCCAGGTTAGGTTGTCAAACTCCATCTCATTTCCCTCTCGCATAATTGTCTGATTAAATCCCAGCCTTTCTATTACGACGGAGGTGTGGGCTGCACCCAGCACCCGGCACCGTGCGGAATCCAGTGTGATCCCCGGATTAAAGGTGATTTACAAACGCTCGTCGTCATTCCGACTGACAGACGGGAGACACCGATACCTACAGCCGGAATACTGTCGGATATAAAAAGACAAGCGCTACGAAGACGGCAATTTACCATCATGCCGGAAATTGTTACGGGGGGGCCTCCCCTAAATCTGCCTTACTCTGCACGCCAAAGAGGGGCGGTTTAAACTTTTGAGGCAATGTTTTAAAAGGTTTTTTGATTTACCACATGCCACTGAATGGTGTCACCGCGACGTGAATTAAAACACAGGAACCAGGATGATTTCATGCCTGTAAAAAGAGTGGCCTGGCACGACGGCTCCAAGACCGTTTAACGCCTCCACGTACGTACGTATGCCCATTTCCTGCCGGCAGGAGCTAATTCTGCGGTCCCCGTACCGTGAAGGAGACTGAATCTTGCGGGCGGCTCCTACGCTGTCCAAAGTTCTCCGACGGGAACGCTGGGGGAGCAAAGTGTGAGGGGGTGCAGCACGGATGATTTCGGCATGAGCCACCTGTATGGGGACAGGAAGTGAAACGTAACAGTGAAGAGAGAAACACATCTATGTTAAAATAGTCATTCTTCAGCTTTTCTTGTTGGGACAGAGGAACGCACAGTAAATTAATAGATTAAATATATAGATTAAATAGATAGATAGATCGATAGATAGATAGATAGACAGATTTTGATGGAGCTCCGCTTTTGAGGGAGACATTTTTTTCCTTTTACAAGCACGGTGGTGTTTCTGAGACGCGTTCTGGGCAGATCCTGCATATGTGTCCCTCAGGAGTGCCCTACCGTTGCAGCTACAGAAGGCAGGCTGCCGTGCTCAGCTAACACCCCCCCCCCCATTTTAAATCACCACTGGCATATTGGCCATGCCCTAGCTCCCAAACGAGCTTCCTGTCCGTGAGGGATGGCCGGAATCGTCCGCCTCCCCCGTCACGCGTTCCCATCCCGCCCGACCTCTACGTTCCTCTCCATTCCACCGGATCATCGCCAGAGTCCGGCGGCCGTAACGATGAAAGATGGGCTCTCGGCGGTCCGGTCACGGTCCCCATGACAGTTGGGGGGGGGTTTGGTGGAGTGGAGAGGGTTTATCACCACCGTGTGGACGGCATCTCCATCCGCGGCCTGTTTCAGTCCCACAGAAAAGCCATCTTCACCACCTGATGGCAACAGAAGATGAAGATGCCATTATAAAAATAAAACCCCTCAGCTGTTACTCACGGTCCACTGCCCCCCCCCCCCCCCCCCCCCCCCCCAGCACAATACCGGCTAAGCTCTTGAAAGCATCTGGAAGGCCACACCAGCCAGATGTGAGAACAGGCTGCTGACTGACAGAATGCACTCCAAGTCAGGAACTCATCGACAGGGCATGGAATGAGTCATTTAACACATCTGATGTTTGGCCCTACACATCCAGCATAGGGTCTTAAATCGTGGTCACGCTGCTTCACTGTCCTCTGTGGCGACTCACCCCCTCACCTCACAACGAGTGGCGTGTGAGAAAAACCATCGATTGGAAACCTTTCAGTCACAGGCCTTTGGGAGGAGCGGTAGTTGAAGGGGAACTGTAGGAAACAGCTGGCCTGCAACCCCTCCCCCCCGAACACAGAGACACCGTCAATAAACTGCACAGCTATCTACAGGCAACAAATTAACTGCACTCAGAAGACAACTGACCCAGCCTTCGCCTCTCCCACATTCAAGAGGGGGCAGCTCAACTGTGCTGCAATTTTCATAGGGATTGTTTATTTTGTTCGGGTGCTCAAATGTCTACGATTCGACTCTCACTCTGGCCAAGATTCTCCCGCTCGTTCAGTCATAAATTAAGGGAATAAACAAGAGCAGAGAGGCAGGGTTTCGATCATCTGAACGTTGGTTGTCCAGTCGCTCATTATCTGCATGACCCGCAGGGTTCGGTGAGGGTTACAGGCCATGTTTCTGGTGTTATGGGTTTGCCAGTCAGACTATTGATGTATCTTTGGTTTGGGGAGACGGGAGTGGGGGGAAGAGGTCGGCCCTTTGGCTCTGGCCAAGGAGCACTCAGATTCCCTGCCCCCTGAACCCGCTCCGAGCCCACGCAGCCGGGGGGCCCCAAAGGTGGCGACAGGCAGGGTGGATCCCGATGTCTGAGGCCTGAGGGTAAAACTGGACAAGCCTCTGGAGGGGGCTGCCAGCTGCTTGGTCCTCAGATGGGGACCTGGAATACTCCTAGCGCCCCCCGAGGTGGGCAGCCTGGAGGCAGGCATTCCCCGTGCTGGGCCAAGGTGCCGTGAGGAGGTACGAGCTCTGCCATCTGCCTGGGACTTAACGAGGGACCTCACGGCCACACCAGAGTCTGAGACGGACTTCCCAGCCTCTTCCGTCTTGGGAGGCAACTCAAGAAGCTGGCAGGGTTGGAAGAGCCCTGGCTCCGAGCGGGCATCGGCGGCGGCATTCGGGGCGAGAGGGGAGCGGGGCCGGCTCCCTGGCGTGCCCTCATCTGATGGCGGGAATGAGCAGGGGTCTCCGGGGTCTAGTGAAGAAGCTTCTCCGGCTAATGCTCCCTGGACAAGGTGTTTGCTGATCCGGGGGCCTGAAGGCTGTAGTATTTGAGGCTGTGAGGAAAAACAAAAGGCGGTGAGAAACCGAAGAGGAATGGAAGCTACTAGAAACACACAAAAGATGCTTAACCTGCCGCCGTGACTTTAAGCTGGCGGGCAACGCGCTGGATGGGACAGGATGGCAGGTTTCGGGACAGACCTTCCAGTCTGGTAGCATGGTAAAGCTCACCGAGAACTGGGGGCCAGAACGCGATTACGGCATGGCTGAGCTCTGCAGCAGCGGTGTGGCCGAAAGAGGCACGAGCTCCTCAAGGGGGGAGAAAAAAGCCTGTGAGCCCCCCCCCCCAGGCTGACAAACAAGGAGAGAAAAAGGTGGGCGGTAATCTGGACCGGAAGCAGCACAGCGAGGCACCTTCATTTACAGAAATGTTAGTCTCTGTGACATGGCACCAGGGCACCCTCAGCCCGCCTCGTTAACATTTAACGATGCTCGTTAGGAGGAAGATGAGAGCCGCTTCCTGGCTCTGGACAAACGGCCTTAGGGTGCTACATGGGCTGACCGCCACTCAAAGAGGGGACAGCTACGTCAGAGCCGGACTGAAGTGAACGGCAGCTGTGATCGGGGACACCTTTCCACCGAAGCGCGCTGCACAGTGCCCCCTGGTGGCCACTAATAGAAAGCTTTCCATAAAGCCATTTCTGCTGCTCTGTATTCCTCAACAGGTCAAGGACCACTCGCGTCTGGCTATACAGTATCTTAAAAACAAATTATTTTTAGTCCTAAATTTAAAAGAACGTTCTTTACACATCTGACTTAATCCGTACAACATGGCTGCAGCATCTCTTAGCTTGCGTAGGAAATTTCCGCGAGACATCATTAACAGAGTTAAAACCCTCTCCTTTCAGCGCCGCGTGAGACCAGAGGATCCAGTGCGTCCTGGCAGTGAAGCCACCAGAGCTTTAAAGTGCCACTGATTCAACAGCTCATCCACGGCACGCAAATCTGACTGTGTACATAATCACGGGCAGCGCGGTCGGCTTTGAGGTTTAACATCAAAGCTGATGGCAACGCACAAAGCTCCTGCAGCTCTAAGCCCCATCGACACCCGGCCCTCACGCAGAGGGAGATTCTCTGGTTTAACAGCACCACCTACTGCCCGCCACTTCACACTGCACCCCTCTCGACGCACTCCATCTTTGTTTCGCCGGGCAGAACACGCTACACCGCGGCTATAGCTCCTGCCGGTGATCGGCTCCCAGCTGTGGGAGTGGGAAAAGTCCCTTTTTCGAGTTTCCCTACTGGGGACAGTATTAGTTGCCTGTGCAAATTCTGGGTGAACAAACAAGGCAAGGTTTTATAATTATACCCAAGCAAACAGAACCCACTGGCAGCCATAGAGTGACCCCGCCCCCCCACGTCGCCATAAAAAAACGTGTTAAAGAAGAGCTCATCTTCTCATTGGGGACCCTGCCTGCGCCCAATCTAATGCCAAATACCCCTCAGACTTGATGTTACTAGGCTGCTGACCGCTGAATCACGAAGCTACTGCCCACTGCTCCGCTTTAATCCTTTCCGTCTCACTCAACCGAAGGCCCGTTTGAATAATCAGGACAGATAGCCACAAGCGACTTCAACGGCCGCAGATCACTTTAAATAACTGCTGATATTTGACGATTAATGATATTTGAAAAGACAATTATCAGTCAGCCACTGACTAAAAGGGCAAGGAGGAGGAGAAAATCAACTGTAAATGAAAACAAAGTCGCAGTGAGAAGCACAAATCAGTAAAGCACCAGCCTGCTTTTAGATGCAGCTCTCGGGGAAAATGAACCCAGTTTCCCGCCATTCGTTTAATAGTGTGTGTGTGTGTGTGCGCATGTGCGTGTGGGGGGGGTGGGGTGGGGAGGCGGCCCTAAGTCTTTCTGAATTAGCGTATTCGCGAAACACAAACAGAATTAATAACTAAAACTCAAACATTCATTCCACAGAGCAATTCCCCAAACAAACACTGCCTGTTACAGTCTTCATTTCCTCTCCAGTGATTAGCTTGAGCCGAACATGCTAATTCCCAGAATTTATCATAGCAGCACCTGGGCAATTTTTCATCATCTGCGCTTGCATTTAAACTTCGTGTGTTTCATACTTGCATCCTGGCAGCATTTATTAGCACAGTGCGTGACGTTAGATCATGCAGTGCGTGACGTTAGATCATGCAGTGCGTGACGTTAGATCATGCAGTGCGTGACGTTAGATCATGCAGTGCNCCCCCCCCCCCCCCCCCCCCCAGCTGGCTGTTGCAGCCAATCACTGAGCTGCAGTGCGAAACAGAGCAAGCCCCCCCGACCAGCACTACTCCTCTACAGATCACGCACTGCAATCCCAGCCCCAACGGCAAAACATAACCCAAGTCAATGAGATGTCAGTCAACGACGCACATCCTGACCTGCTGCCCCTCACTTCTTTTCAGGCAGATGCTAGATAAATAAACCACACTCCTCTGTTGTTGTTTTTAGAAGGCAGCCAAGTCAGCTAATGGCTTTAGCTTATTCATAATTAGAAGGCTAACAATACACTTAAAGATTCAAACGGGCATCCGGCGTAAATAAAACGGGGCTCATTAACATGCACGCAGGCACATCTTTGCCGGAGGTCTTATTAAATGTTAACATTTTATGCGAGGAAATGTCTCAAACGCTGGGGGCTGGAACCTGGCGTTGCTTCAAGGCTTTTCTGGGGAGAAAAAAAAAATTAAATGAGAGAGAAAAGCATTGTATGCATTGTATGGGTCTTAAAATTCAAAAACAGAGAACGCACCCCCTCTCCACCCACGCCCAGACCCGAACAAACGGCCAAGGTCCGATCTGCCCGCATCTGGTAAGGAACTGCGAGACTGATTCTTTAGAGGGCAGCGCTGGGCAGCGCTGAAAGGTGACATCTGATGTCTTCCTCACTCCTACACAGGTGACGGGAATTACATTGTTTCTATGAATGGGAGCCCTTCAAAGTGCGACGAAGGCCTGCCCTAGACTGGTGCGTGCCTGTTCATCGACTGCTTGCCGTCAGAGCCACACGAAGACTTGCCTGGGTCCCTGTCAAGCTATAACGTGTCTTGTTTGCCGATCCTAGTATTTCTCATGCCCCCCCAGTGTCTGGGCCCTGGAAAATCTTTCACCCCCTTATGGGGGATCCTGCTCACCCTAGTGACCGTCGCCACGTTCCCTCTCCCCCGAGCAGCCAAGGCCCTCGATCCCGCCCCGTCCACCTGTCACCGTTACACAAACATTACACTTTACCAGATGGGGCCCTTCAAAGACACGCCCTTTGCTTCGAAGGTCATCCTCATGCCAGGAAGGTGTCGCTGGTTACCCACCAACCGGTGAACGTGGGGAGCCAACGGATAGAGGACTAGAGACGGAGGGCGGTGCCATTGATGTAAACAGTCCTGTTTAAAGGATCTGCGCGCCGGTATCGTATTCTGATCACCCGCTAATTAACTCATCAAACAGGCACCCTTCAGGGAGCAATCCAGAGCTGCACTTATTAATAACTGTGGCGCGCTCAGAAGCCTGAGGGGGAGTGTCACAGCCCCCACCCCTTTTGGAAGGAGTCACAGCCCCTGGCAACGAGTGAGCCGCTTAGTTAAAACCAACAGGCTGCAACCACCGGTGGGGGGGGGGGCATCCGCAGAAACACCTACTCACGCAGTCTCCCGGGAAGACTGTGTGACAGGGACACGGTGACAGGAACGCCGATGTTTAGCTTTTCGTCCGTGATCCTGCACACCACCGCAAACAGAAAAAATTATGCAGAAAGACCAGGCCGAAACTGACGGCTCTACGGCGCCCACTGCTGGTGGGAGGTCACATTTAAAAACTTGGGGTGTTCATGGCACAACTTGACCGAAGTGATGATTTTTCCCGGGGGGGGGGGGGCTGACCGAGCCCTTAAGTCTTTAGGTCAGGAGTGTAAAAAAAAGTCAAAGAGACTCAGGACTCTCATTCGCTGCCATCTTTATTTACGCTCACAAATACAGACCAGAACAAAACAAGAACAAATTAGTATAATATGCTTAATGTTTGCTCTCCTCCAGCATCTCCAAACATCATTTAAAGTGCATCCAAGTTTCCTTTAAATTACAGACAATTACATGTAGGAGTTCAATATCTATACATACTTATCATTAGAGCGTGTAGTCAGGTTTTTTACAGTATTGCACAAATTTTACAACCGGAAGATATGAGAATGCAGCAGACGTGGCAGTACAGTTACTAATGAGTAGGTGCACATCTTAAAGACTGCGATACAGTGTCCAGCGACAACGGCGAAGGGAGTCCTGGGATACGTGAACCTTGGGGCGCCGTAAGTGCGGCCTTGCATAGCGTAGCATGGTGCTGGCCGGCTGGGGGGGGGGGAATAGGGGCAAGTCACAAACACCGAGGAAACACTGGGCCTGCACATACGCATTACCGGTAAGGTCGCTAAACGGGATGTGATCAGAGTGACGGTCACAGAGGGTCAGCGGGGGGGAGGCGTCCCAATGGATAACAAGTGGACACCAGATCCTGCGTCCCGGGGGGGGGGGGGTCTTACTGCAGCACTGGCCAATCCTCCACTGTCCGTGGTAACTCGTTCATGATGTTACTATGGTTTCCGTCTGTGGCCCCAGGGGAGAAACGTAACAAATGAGGATGACCTCGGTGCCGGTGCGAGTGACAGGTACGAGGCCCCGACTCCCCACCACTGCCAGGGAAAAACGTACAAAAGTGTAAATAAGTCCCTAATGATATGATAATAAGCATAAAGGGATAAATGATAATGATTTCCAGGCGTATCCCGCTGTTTTGGTTGATATGTTGTAAATTGGACTATTAGCCATTTCTGGCTGAAACTCTTAAATAACAGGGAAAAGAGAAATGGGCTGGAGATTAATCTCGAGCAAGAACAGCAGAGAGAAACACGGCCCCGCGGGACACCGGCAGCCCCGACCGCCCCAGAAGAGCAGATTCAGCAAAAACGACCGTCTAAAGCCGTCTACGCCGTGCACTTGCAGGAA